ATATATATATATATATATAAATTTATATATAAAATTGGAATTCATAAATCATCTCTGTCTGAGATATAAACAAGCGGTTGCATGCATGTATGGCCACATGGCATAGCATACCCACAAATGCAAATTTGTGAGTTCATTCTTAAAAAAGAAAATGATTGCATCATTTTCTTGGCCACTTCCCTTACTTTTTATAGCATGGTAAAGTCAATAACACAATTACATTACATTGCAGTTCCCTTACTTCTTAGACACTACTCTTTTGTAACGTTAATTACATTTCATCATAGCTTTAAGAAGTGGGCCAATTGGGTTGGGTTCACGATGTCGAACAAGTGGGCCCCATCCGTCTTCAAGAAGAGGGTTAGTTCCACGTACCTTTCATGCTTCTGCTGCTGCGTCTCTTCTTCTGGGCTCGCCGACCGGTTCCATTTTCGGCCCAATAGAGTGCCTTTTGTCAGGAATTCGTGGGCCAAGTACCCAGCCAGGAGCATATGGTTCGGCATGGGGTTAGAGCTTGAGTCTTTTTTGCTGGACTCGGGTCCGGATCTTGACTTGTCTGGCTTGGACAATTTGGTAACCTGCGATGTGGGCTTGGGCCTCGGGGACGCGTGATCCCTCTCCTTGCGCTTATTTGAGTTAGGGGCAGTGGGCCATGGTACACGGCGAGAAGGGGGACGCATCGTTTTGGTACTCATGATGCTTTCCTAAGATGCACACGTCACCATATAATAGTACTAAAATTAAATTAAAAAAAAATAAGGAGCCGTTGTTTTAAGAAGAATGGGGTATCTCAGAGATTGTTGAAAATGAGGGGACAAAAGTGAAAAATAATGAAAGAAAAATGGAGTCGAGGAGGATGAAGATTGGTGTCGGAACCTGAGTTTCGGTGGTGGCGTGATGAGATGATTTTGATGGAGAAATGAAAGGAAAAGTGAATATTAGAGAAAAAGAAGAAAAGAAAAAGAAAAGCGATGTAAACGAGGTAACGATAGATCGTAGAAAAGAAGAATGATGAAGCAAGAAACGAGAGTCCGAGATTTATAGCGGCTGTTGTAAGTAAATGTCCTTGTTGACTAGCGCATATTACATTAATGCCAAGCGGTGCGTATGATCAGTCATTTTTCTACATTATTTTATTCATTTTTTTAATACATCAATGAGTACAGTATGCATGTTAGATAATTTTTTATTTATAAAAAGGTGTCACCAACATTTTTCAATATTTTTAATATGTTGAAATTTATTAAAAATTATAAAATTATCAAAAAGTATTATTATTCTTTTCGAGTTATAATATTTTACGTTTACAATTTTTACACATTTTTTAAGAAATATTTAATGCGAATCTGTAAGTTTGGAAAGAGGAAAATAATGTGTTTGAATTTTTTAACTGACCTAACATACCGATTACCAACATCTATTTATAAAAAAAATTTAAATATTTTTATTAAATATTTTTATTTAATATTCTTAACAAGAATAACAATGGATTAAGAATGAAAATTATTAAATAAGGGCATATGTGAAAATGTTAATTAATATAACGTGAAATATATAAAGCATAAAAATTGAATAGATAACTAAAATGTGAAATTTATTAACATTTATAATTTTCAACTAATAAAAAAATCTAAAAAAAACTGTATTAGTGAATGTATTTTTAACATTTATCAAATTTTTATGTTGTGAACTAATTAAAATGTTAACATTATTTTTAAATTAATTATTATCGAGGTTAATCAACTTACCATAAAATAATTTTTTTGATTGAATGACAGTAGAAAAAAAATTCAATGTACATCTTATTTAAGAAAATAAGTTATGTATTGATAATGAAAAACAATTCTATATTATGTCTAATTATAGTTCACCATTAGGAAATTGAGTAAGTTAAGTCATATCAAGTGAAGTTTTAAATATAAAGGGTGAATATATTTTAATTAAGTCTAATTTATTATCTATTATAGATTTTTTCTAAGTATATTTTGATCTTTTTAAAATTTTGATCTAATCTATTAACTTATTTATAAGTATATATTGTATAACGTTATTAAATAGATTAATAAATTTAATTAAATAAATTAATTATTTTATTTTTAAACATATATGTGTGAGTTTTTTTTATTTTATGAAAAAATAGTTTATTTAACTATTGTTAAAACTTATATTTAAAAAATAAAAATTAACATAAGAGGACAACTCATATAAATTAATGTACATTCATGCACATACTACAATGAAAGAAGGTGATCTTATTAAAAAAATTCCTAAATATTTATTGTGTCTCGTTTTGAATATTCTAAATATCTAATTACAAAGATAAAGAGAAAGAGTAGTCAAAGATGCAACTACTAGAGATTTTATTTTCAATTTTTTTAATTTTATACAAACAAAGATTGTTAAATATTTAAGTGTAGTGAAAATGTAAAAAATATTGATAATTTAATTTTTGTATTACAAATTAATTAATTTATTTTTATATTATTATTAATATAATATATATTCATTTTTTATTATATTATATAGATAAATAAACTAACCTATTAAGTTTAACAGGTTTTTATAAACTTAATGTCAATCTTTTAAATAAATAGATTTTTAAAAAATTTAAACCTAACATTTTTACTAAATAGTCATATTCTAAATAAATCTTATTTAAGGTATGATCTATTCTTATCCTTAGTTATCATATATGTAACAACTCAGCCATATGTCTCTATACTTACTACAACTTAATAGCTAAGCAATGAAAAATTATAACAACATTTATAGTACTTGGATATCCATAAATCAATATATATATATATATATATATATATATATATATATATATAAATAAATAACTT